AGAGCTGCCTCGGAGCTGGGCAGATCAGGGCAAAGGGGTGTGTCCGGGAGACAGGGCTGCCCATCCCGGGGGTGCTGGGCAGAAGGTCTGGCTCTCCCACTGCTCCTCCTCTCCTCTCCCACAGCCTGGATCCCCACATTCCTTCTGGGTCTGAGGTCCCTTTCCAGAAGGGCACCCAGAGACCGCCGGCCTGGGCCTCTGGGGCAACTCGGTTGCTTGCACCCGGCGCAGGAGGGCACACTGAAGAAACTCTGGGACGGGCTAAACCATTTGGGGCCAAGAGGGAGAAGCCCTCCTGGGTGAGATGCTGGTTAGCGGCTCCCAAACGGGTGTGACTACAACTCCCATCGTCCAGATCTATGACAACTGGCTGGGGATGATGGGGTTGCAACTCATTGCCCCGGTGGGTCTTGGCTGGGGAAAGCTGTTCTCTCACATTGCAACTGTGCAATCCTAGAAAATGTGCAATTCACAAGCAACTGCACAATTCAGTGAAATTGCCCTTCAGGCAGATTAGCGAATATTCAGAATCCGGTCTGTGCACCCTCCTGCTGCAAGAGCCCTGATGCAAAACTCTGAATCAGGCAACGGCGGGAGCGGGGAACCAGGAAAGCAGAGAAGGGGAACCCTGGACGGACCCGAGAGGGAGACCCGGCAGACTGATCCCCTCCTCGCTTTTCCAGGGTGGAGTCCGAGCACACAAAACCCACCCCAGCAAGGGAGCCATTTCGCAGGCGGCCGACGGGACGCAGAAGTTATCTATCGTGCCAGCAGAGCTCACGCCCAGCACCTATGGGAAGACAGGCGCGTTTTCTGCCTGAGGGCTGGACTGCACCAAGCCCAAGGCTAGATCAGCCACCGGCACGCTGGGAGGTGGGGGGCAAATGGCAGGAAAAGGCAGGCTTGCTGCAAGGCCCAGCCGCCAAGGCGGCAGCTGGGGTCCTCAGGAGGGCGCCCAGCCTGTCCAGCAGGGAAGCAGATGGACACAAGGCCCGGGGGTTCAGGGAGGCCACAGAAACCCCAGCAGTGGGTGATCCACAAAAACCACTCAGTAGTGGTGTAAATCTGCCAATCACACCCACCTTAGTTGTTTCGGGGGGGGGTGTGCAAAGCCAGCCTCCACCCTGATCCAGGTTTGGGGTTCCTGGGATGTTCTCATCAGCCACCGTAGTCAGGGAACCTCCATGTTCAAGGGCAGTCTATCTCAGGGCTAGGAGGAGATGTCTGCCTTCGCATACTTTCCTAAGCTTCCCATTGGGAGATCCGACTACAAGCCAGGCTGGGAGCAGGAGGCTTGACCGGTTGAGCACCGCGGATGCATTGCAACCTGATTCCCAGCGCGGGCGCGGCGACCGCTGGCACGGAGTGAGACCGGCCCGACCGCCAAAGCCGACAAGCGCCAGCGCTCTCGCCTTCCCCTCGAAGGAGCCAGCGCCTCGTCGCTCCTGAGGTCCTGCGGCCGTTGCTCTGCGGCTGCTGGTAGGCGGCGCTGCCCGCCCACCCATGAAGCGGGAAAGGCCCCCGGCCTTGCCCGGGCCAGCCCCGTCCCCAGACTTCGAGCAGGAAGCGGGCCCTCCGCCCGGGGGCTCCCG